GGCCACGGGCGGCGTTCCCCCTCGGACGTCCGCGGCAGGGTCGCTGCCGCGTCGGCACGGCACGACCCTGCCGTGTGCACTCCCCTCCCGTTTCTCTGTCGGCTGCTGCATCGCGGGGTCCTCCTCCGATCACCTTAGACGCTGGCGCTCTTCACGCCGGATGGATCTGTACTGCCGCCCTGCTGGTGCTTTATCTTCGGGGTCTCCTGGCATCTCGGGAGGTCGGGCGACTCACGACACCGAGACGGCTTGGTGCCCTCTTCATCTCAACCACTATCTTGAAAGGGGCCCTGGGACACACAAATAAATGCACACAAATAACAGGATTCCCCATATTTTCGTATATTTTCTAGGTTTTTGTCTTCCCCCCACTTCCCATATTTCTCCATATTTTTAAAGAAATCGAGGATTAATTGTGTCTGTGTGTTTCTTTCCCTCTTGATATCTGTTGATGGCGACGAGGAGGAGGCCTCCAGGTCCGCACCTTGGGCCAGCAGAAACACTGCGATGTTCACGGCCGCGTGCCGTGGAGCGCGGCGAGCAGGGCAGAGAGCGGTCGAGATCTGAAGGATCCCCGCCGGCCACCAGCTTGGCCAACTATGCCCACGCTACAGTCATCGGCCTGACCTAAGGAGCGATAAATAAGGAACGAAGCCCCTTTTTTATCCCAAGGAGTAACGCATAAGGAACGATCAACAACACATAACGCATAAGGAGCTGTAACTAACGCATGCAGACCTAAGGAACGACCGAGCCCCTTTTGAAAAGTAAGTGTCCCTTATTCAAGCCGCTCACTGTTCAAGTGTTCACTGTATTCAGGCATAGTTGGCCACCAGCTTGGCCAACTATGCCTACAACTAAGGAACCCAAAATAAGGAACGAGGCCCCTTTTCTCCATAAGTCAACCTTCGATTTCCGATCGAAAAACATAAGGAAAACCTGAGGCAAGCTGCGACACACTTAAGGAACGCGGAGCCCCTCCCCAACGGAAAGGGTTCCTTCTTCAGGGCCCCGACTGTATGCCTACGCCACAATCTGAACGCGCGTTTCTCGCAATCTTCGAGCCAGGACGCCGTGTGGGGCCCCGGAGCCATCCACAAGCACGACTCCATATAGGAGAGCAGCGCTTCCGCGGGGGGAGCCGAGGGGTCAGGGGGCCCACGCCCCAGACCCATCGAGCCGCCGAATGTGGTGGGAGCCCCGGGGCCGTCTGAGAACCCAATCGTTCTAGAGCTCCGACGTCGCGTTTTCATCGCAACGTGGGCCCCCGGATATCTGGTCACCGTCCGCAGGACTGGCTTTTCACTCTGAGTCGTTGCTTGGCAGTCCCGGGGCCCAGTCAGGGCCCCATGTAGGGAAAAAGTTTGCAAACACCTTCCAATGTGATTTGTCCACGGCGCGAGGAGGTGGGGTGCTGAGGATCGAGGAGCTGATCTGTTATGAGAGTTTGTCCTTCTTGGGAGGCCAGACGCCTCCAGGGACCTCCAGGGCGTCAGGGGACCTCCAGGGACCTCATGCTCGTGCCGCCCCTCCTCCCATCTCTTGCCCTCCTCCTCGGTTGGTCGGTCGGTCCTCGGGCGGAACGAAGCCGATACCTACGCGGATTCATGGTCGAGAGACGGCGGAGTGAAGCACGAGCAGAGGCAGTTCCTCCTCCTCCTCCTCCTCCTCCTCCTCCTCCTCCTCCTCCTTATCGTCATCCTCCTCTGTCTCGTTCTCGTCCTACTCCTCCTTCTCATACTCCTTGCTCTGTCTCCTCCTCTCCCTGCCGCCCCCCGTCCTCCTCCATCCCATCTCCTTACAGATACCTTCTCCCTGTCGCACCCCCAGGCGAGTGAGTCGGGCGGGACGGGCGTTTCGCCTAAGACATCCCCACTATTTATCCCTTGAAATGTGTACATCGGTTCGTGCTCTCGCCTTAGCGCCGCGCGTATTCGTCTTAAACATGTCCAGCAGCTTCAATGATGGATGGGGGGTCAACATGTGGATATCGTCTTAGCTCCGCGCACCTTCGTTGTAGATCTGTGCAACATGTTCATTTATGGAGAGGAGGGGTCTTCATAAATGTAGCTCTCGCCTCAGCGCCACGCACATGTGTCTTTAAACTTTGCAGCGGCTTCAAGGATGGATGGGGTAGTTTTCAAACTGGTGCTCTCGCCTTAGAGCCGCTCGCAATCGTTTCAAAACATTGCAGCAGCTTCAAGGGTGGAGAGCGGATACCTTTCAAAATTGTAGCTCTCGCCTCAGCTCCGCGCAAATCGTCGCACAACATTTACAGATGGAGGGGAGGTCGTTTTAAGCAGGGGTAGTTTTAAAACATCTTGTTATCGCCATAGCGCCGCGCGCACTCGTCTTGAAATCTTGTGATGCTTTCACGGATGGATGGTGGCTCCTCTTCGAACTGTTGCTCTCGACTCAGGGCAAATACTTTTTACAGTGCAGCAGTTTCACGGGAGGATGGGGGGGCCGTTTTCAAAGCGTGGCTCTCGCTCTGGCGCCGCGCACTTTCGTCTTGAACGTCTGTAATTTGTTTCGGCGGTGGACAAACCTCCCTTTAGTAGACATCCCCTTAGTGAAAACGATCTGGGACCGAAACCGACGGACCTGGACCCGCAAAAATGACGGCCGCGACGCCCTCTCGCGAACCGAAAACGGCAAGTTCCTTAATCGACGTGTCAGGGTAGGAGGTCTGTCCATCCCCGATTGTTTTTTACGGATGGAGGGCGTGTTCTTTTCAACCTGGGGCTCTCGCCCCAGCGTCACGCGCATTCTGTTTGAACACCCGCACTCGCTGCACGGATGGACGGCGGCCGATACTCAAAACGGGGCGCTCGCCCTGGCGCCGCGCGTATCCGCTGCCTCCCGCGCAAAATTCGGCCAGGTGGAGTCCTGCTGTTCTTCAGGCTCCGTAAGCTGAAGGAAGCGAGACTCAGCCTGAAGCCTCCGTAAGCTGAAGCCTGAAGCCTCCGTAAGCTGAAGGACACGAGACTTCAACCAACATGGCGCGGCACGGATTCGTGGCGGCTCTTTTGCAAAAAGGGCCTGTCGCTTGAGGCTTCGAGGGTGAACGCGTACAACAGTTACACGGACGTGGGGGTGGTCCTTCTTCGAAAGGGAAATCTCGCTGGACACCCTTTTCATGGTTGGGCCCTCGCCAACATGGTAGGACTTAATGTGCTGGTCTTCCAGTGCGAGGGCGCTCATCGTAGTGACAAGGACATCTTGAAGAGGCGTGTGAGCCGAGGAGGGGACCTGGGACGGGACGGTGTATCGCAGCATCGCGCATCATCCTCTCTCAGCCTCCGCGTCGGGGTCTCCCGCGGACCTGCTGCAGAACCGTCCTTGAACCACCCCGATCTGTCGCGAGAGGGGCGGGCCCCGAGGGAAGCGGGGCCTGGCCCCAGGGCCCTCCTCCTCCTCCTCCTCCTCCTCCTCCTCCTCCTCCTTGTCCTCCTCCTCCTCCTCCTCCTCCTCCTCCTCCTTGTCCTCCTCCTCCTCCTCCTCCTCCTCCTCCTCCTCCTCCTCCTCCTCCTCCCTCTCCTCCTCCTCCCTCTCCTCCTCCTCCTCCTACTCTCTTCCTCCTCCCCTCCTCCTCCTCCTCCTCCTCCTCCTCCTCCCTCTCCTCCTCCTCCCTCTCCTCCTCCTCCTCCTACTCTCTTCCTCCTCCCCGAGGCCAGCCTTCCAGCCCTCGGGGCCGCTCTCTGACGGCCCCCAATTGCCCAGGGGGGGCCCATGGGGAGGAGCCCGAGAGCGGAGTGGGAAGAGCCTCCGGGACCCGCCTCCGCCGGGACCCCTCTCCTCCTCCTAGCCCTCCTCCTCCTCCTCCTCCTCCTCCTCCTCCTCTTCCTCCTCCTAGCCCTCCTCCTCCTTCTCCGCCCGTCCTCGGGGCCCCTCTCCGCCGACGTCGCAGGTTTCTGCCACGCCGGCGCCACGGCAGACCACGTCGCAAGTTTCTGCCACGCATGACTACCTGGCAGACCACCCCAACCCAACCCGAAGACCCGAGTTTGACCCGAATTTCGGGTTGGGGGGGGGTACGGATACCATGTGTTTTTTCAGCGTTCCCCGACCCCCCCCCACTGGAAATGGAAGGCAAATTGAGGGCTTCGGGTTGGGTTGGGGTGCTTTGGTGGGCGGTGACTGCAGGCCCCTCTCCGCCGACGTCGCAGGTTTCTGCCACGCCGGCGCCACGGTAAGACGACGCGGGGATCGGGACAAAGTCGGATCGGGACAACTCGAAATCTCTGGGAATCGGCGGGTTTGGGGGATGTAATTGGGCGCCGCGGCCGCTCCAGAGCGTTCCGGAACGCTCTGAGAGCGCTCCGGAACGCCCTGCTTTTACGCGAGGCTCGCCGCCCGAAGCCGGCCACGCAGAGGAGGGCCCTCTTCGACCAGGCGGCCGCGAGAGGGGGGGCAGGAGGAGGAGGAGGAGGAGGAGGAGGAGGAGGAGGAGGAGGAGCGATTTATCCCGACCCTAGCCCTGCTTTGCACGGGCCTCCGACCGCTCCCCAGGGGCCCGGGCTTCGCCCCGCAGCGGCCTTGGAGGGAGGCCGGGCCGGGGACGGGCCCCCAGAGGCCAACAGCGACGACACGGGGGCCGACGCGATCTCGTGGCGTCGCCCAGATCTGAGTTATTATTACTACTATTATTATTATTATTATTATTAGTATTATTATTATTAATATTATTATTATTATGATTATTATGATTACTATTATTACTATTATTATCATTATTTTTATTATTATTCCTAATTTTTAATATATATATATATATATATATATATAAATGAAAAGCTATCTTCCACAACTTCAACCTCACTTCCACACCTTCCACGACTTCATCAGAACTGTTTTTGGTCATCTCAGGGGTCTGCTTCCGCGCCAGCCCGGCGGCGGGGACACCCTGCCGCAGGCAGCCCGAGGGTACGCGCTGGGCCGCGGCTGCTCGCGCGGCGGGCCGGCCTTCAGTGCGGGGGCGAGCGCGCGGGGTGCCCCTC